TGGGGTGGACCCCTCCTGGAAAAAATTCCTGGATCCGCGCCTGGCTTTATAAAAATTCACATAATATCAATATAAATATGAAGATTTATTCAAATATGTGTGGCAGTTGGCAGTAAGCAGTTGGCTGTCGTACACGGAATTCCAGGGGGGGGGGTGTTTTTTGTTGTTGTTGTTGTTGTAGGGTTTTTTTGTTTGTTTGGGTTTTTTTTTTTTTTTTTTTTTTTTTTTTAATTTTTTTTTTTTTTTTTTTGGCAACACGTTTCTTTTTTCTGTTGCACTCCTGACATGATATAACATTTTTCTTTTCAACGTTAGCCATGACAACAACTTGGTCAGACAAAAGTTGCTACAGTCTATATTTAAAGCTCAATACTTTGAATATTATCAGGAAAGGCTTGATTTCCAACATAAACCATTATTATTTATTTTACAGATCTTTAAAAAATATGGAATTTTCAAAATGTCTCAAAAAGGCGTTGCACTTCTGACATTTTTAGCATCATTTTTGGGCATAACTTTTTTGTGAGACATCAATGAGATATTTGACAGGTATTAATTTAGACACCATCTGAAGACATATGCTGAGACAGAGAAGTTTATTCTATTTGCCTGTATTTTTATTGCAGGTTGATAAATATGTGTTTTGGTCATTATTTTTGAATTCACCCTTCCACAGAAGGCTGAAGTCCAAGGTACTAGTACGCAGTTCGGGTGATCTACACTTTCATTTGAGTTCATCAGTATTCATATTCTTTCATTGGGGAGAATGATAGGCACCCATATGATATGTTGAAAATGAAATACATGTAGATCAACTATTTCACTTCTATAAGATTTTTTTTCTCAAACTCCAAAAAAACTTTTTTAGCATGAGGATCTATATAAAAAGGGAGAGAAGGGGGAGGGGAGGGGGGTTGGGAAGATTTTTTTCATATAAACTTTGATCACCTATTGTGTTTCTACTCTACCCCGGTCGACCATGATTTGAATAAATATGAATCTACATGACTCATTTAATTCAAAAAGCTTTATCGATTTCGGCAGAAATGACAAGAACTGATCCAGAAATTGCTCAGGTAAAAAGTAAAATTGAGCAGAATGAGTTTTTTCCCTTTCACACGTTTCATTTTCTCTGGACCAGTGATCCTACGAGATTTTTAAATGATCCCTTTCTTATCTATTTTTTCTTAATTTTCTCGTCTTTGGGGGGGGGGGGGGGGGGGTCCTTAATGTGAAAAAACATGGATCCTCTTCACCTAAGGATCCTTTCTCACACAGGCATATTACATGAAGTACATTAGAGCACCAGATTTAGGTCCCCTAAACTACAGATAGGAGTATACCAACTGAACTACAGACAGGTTCGTTATTTTTTTTTTGGGGGGGGGGGGGGATTGGGGATCTGCCCGTACTTTTTCCACTATAACCTTTTACTGTCGAAAATGTTCGTTGAAAGGCGCCCCCAACTTTCTGTCGCAGTGAAGTCAAGTAAAAGTAATGTGGCAATATATGAACAAGTTAAATTGATGCAAAGCATCAAATCGACCGCAAAAATATATTTCATTTTGAAGAATTTCCACAAGAAAGAGTCCAAAGAGAAAAATCCAAACAAAAAAGTATATGATACATTTTTACACTTGCTTTACTTTTCTGTGCATTTTTACACTAGTTTTCAGTGATCGATTGTTAAATATTTATGCAAATAAAAATAAATTCATTAATATGAAAATCGGACTGTAATAAAGAATAGGAATGTATTATCATCAAATTATTTGATTCAAGGACAAATACAACAAATATCTAAAAAAAAAAAATTGATTATGAATGACTGAATGCTGACAAAAAAGACACAAGCTTCACGTGCTGACAATCTGGATTTTTGTCAAATGATAATGTCGATCAGTGTTCAACTGTGATACATATGTATGTGAAGTGCAAAAAAAAAAAAAACCCAAAAAAAACTAGCAACTGCAGTGTAAATTCAAAACCAAATTCAGTTCTTATTCCAATTTATTAATTATTTTAGGCTCTGTAATTCATATCCGGAAACTCAATATGTTTTCTTTTTATATCTTACGCACGCCCATGTTAAGAAAGCAGCTCATAAAACAACTTTTTGTAAATTCATTAAATTAATAAATATCTGACGAGAAATGAAAAACAAATTGATACATAATAACAACTATTTAGACTTATTTTTTAGCAAATCTTTAAGGCTTTTATTCGTAACTTTTATGTTTGTTATCAATGAGGAATTATTCCAATGAAGCAATAAAAAAAATAACGTCTCATTTCCCCATGTGCGCATTCTAACACAACCACAAATAGATCGGCCGCTGCTGCGGCCGATAATAATATCTGGTTGTGAAAGTTGGAACCTACTCTTTAAAGGGGCCTGGACACAGTTGCATTGTTCATATTTTAAAGAACAACGCACACTAACTCTCTATTCCCGCCTACATTTTGCACCTACAACGAATTTAATTCAATATAAATGGCAGATTGGCCATTTAAATTTGATTGAATGCAAAGAAGAGTTCATTATTAATTGATTGGTAATTTTAAAACCAGTGTCAAAAACTTAATTGCTCTTATAAACGACTCTTTTCAAAAGGGGAGTTAAAAATTTTATCCATTGAAATCAGGCTTTAAAAATCGCTAGATTTTCAAAGACGCATGGAAATGTATAAATGACCCTTAAATCATTCCGTATTTTTAACTTATGTAAAATTCAACAGAAAAGATTTATAAAAGATTTGATTTTATTTGTAATTTCATTTGAAATTGGTAATAAAATGATCAATTTTGCAGTTTTTTGTCTATAAACATATGCCCCCCCCCTCCCGTGAAACAACAAAAGCTTTGGTACGAATTTGTGAAATAAGAATTCATAAATCCCATAAAAAGGAATTTTTGTTTCACGGGGGGGGGGGGGGGGGGGTTTAAAAATATTTTCCGTTTTCCGTTGATTTCGATAGTGAAAAACACTATTTTACAAAAATTAAAGAGTTATCTCTCCTTGTTTTACCAAATAAGTTATGTTTTATGACAATTCACATAAATATCTTTATAAATATGAAAAATCATTCAAATATGTTAACTTTTAAAATTTGACAAGGAGGTAGGCGGCAGAACAATACTAGCGTTCGCAGTTCTTTCTATGCTTATTCAAAAAATAAAACCAGTTAAATGAATTGAACTTACATGAATATTCCTTAGAATTCAATAACAACGACATTCTTGTTTACATCACGTCAAACATCTGTTTTTTTGTACACAGGGCACGAGCTCCGTTATTGTTAATATTTTTTCACCGGGTGTGTTCAATTTGTTAAACTCGATCTGCACACATCACTGAGCACGGACTTACAATGGGGGAATACTGGTGAGTTGGTTTTGCTTTCTCACATTTCTACTCTGAATTTTCTGGATTATAGTTTTAATATTTTTCATTAATACACATCAAAATACATGTATCTACTTTTCTTAAGCATTAAGGATAAAATTTACTTTTACTTTTTATGCCGCCGTAATCGAAGATTCGGGGTCATATAGTTTTTGCCCTGTCCTTCCTTCTGTCTGTCTGTCCGAAAAACACTTTAACCTTGCCTATAACTTTTGATTGGTTGGAGCTACGCGTATTCCTTGTGACAAAACCTTTCTTTGGGTACCATCATATTTGACCTTTTGACCGTGGAGTTTAACCCAGTTTTTGCAAAATTTTACCGATCATAACCTTGGCCATAACTTTTGAAGTTATTGCTAGGGCTTTCATACTTCACATATGTAATCCTTACTTTGGATGCCAAGGACTTTGACCTTGGAGTTTGACCTTCTTTTGAAAAACTAACCTTGGCCATAACTTTTGAACAGTTGGTGCAAGGGCTTTCATACTTCACATATGTAATCCTTGTGACAAGACCTTCCTTTGAATTCCAAGAACTTTGACCTTGGAATTTGACCTACTTCTGGAAAACTTTAACCTTGGCCACTTACTCTTGAACAGTTGGTGATAGGGCTTTCATACTTTACATATGCAATCCTTGTGACATTACCTTGGATACTAACAACTTTGACCTTGGAGGTTGACCTACTTTTTTAAAATCTTTAACCTTGGCCATTATTTTTTAACAGTTGGTGCTAGGGCTTTTACAGTTACCATATGTAATCCCTTTGTGACAATACCAACAACTTTGACCTTGGAGTTTGACCTACTTTTGAAAAACTTAAACATTGGCCATAACTTTTAAATGGTTGGTGCTAGGGCTTTCATATTTCTTGTGAGAAGTCCTTTCCTTGGGAACAATTAATTTTGACCATGACCTTGATGTTTGACCCACTTTTGAAAAATTTTAACTTTTCCTTATCTTTTATATGGTTGTTGCTAGGGCTTTCATATTTCACAGGTATATTCCTCGCGACAATGCCTTACTTTGAGTACAAACATATTTGATTTGCATTTGAGAAAGTTTAACCTTCGCTATAAGTTGCCATACGGGGGCATCAGTGTTTCACAAACACATCTTGTTTTAAATTTACTTAGTGCAAGGATGTGTACATCAAACGCGTCCCGGAATTCTTAGTTTCAATAATTTCCAGATAAAAGACGTTTCTGAAAATGCTTCAACTATATTTCCGTGTGAAATGCTATAGCAACATATAAGTCATATTACTCAGATAATATTTGAGAATTCTGTGTCCAGATCCCTTTAAACTGTAATTGTGACGGTCAAGAATGGTCGATAACCAGTGGCCAGATACCTCAGTTTTCAGAGCACCTGACTTATGATGCCCGGGTTCGAATCCTAGTCTGGTCCGTCACATTTCCTCCTTCCCTGTTGCATAACCAAAGAATCTTAATGGAAAAGCATTATCAAATCAATGTCTGAATGACAGACAGTGATTACTAATATTGCTCCAAATTTGATGTGAAGAGCTAAAATTCCTAGAGATCAAAAATTACTTCTTCAGCATGTCTTTGGGACATGATTTGCAAGAAATTTCTGCGTTTGTTGTTTATTAAATACTCAGTATAAACATTCATTATATGTCTTTTAACACAATACTGCTTACAACAATGTTCATTGCAGAGTAAAATGTTCCAAATTTTGAGTGATGCCCTGAAGCATTCATCCAACTCTCTACTCTTGGAAAAGACTTTAAAACAGTTAACATTCTCGAGATCTTAAATACTTTGTAACAGATTTTGATATACATGTAGTTGTGTCCTTCCCTGTGGAACATTAAAAAACGTAAAAACAAACTAGCGTTAAGTAAACTACTTAAACTGGGGGAAATCACTACACTTCTAAAACGAAGCATCCAGTTCTTAGACCTTGCAAATCAGACAGAATGTAAATCTGCTAAACACAATATAAACCAATAATTATACATATAACTACACACAATGCATCATAAAATATTCAGCGAGTTACACTTTTATCAGATGACAATGTTCTTGTGGTATGCAAGAGTACAGATGCATATAATTTGTCAGTACCTATTTTTTATTCTACATGTGAAGATGAAAACTATAAGAAAAGTTTGTCAAGTTGAAAAGGATATTTACCAACAAGTACATATAAACAAGTTTTAAAAATTTTAGCAAAAGCAACAATGAACATATGAACACATTACTTTTCTTTGCATACATTATCTCTGAAAATGGTCAGTACAAGAAATATTATGACAATTTATGGTCAATATTTTTGTTCCATACTTTTCCAAGGGAAAAAATTCAAATACTCTTCCAATTGCCCCCCACAATCTTTCAAAATTTCTCATTCCTGCTACAGGGTCTGTAGAGATATATATGCATGCATTTGTTTTGCCTTGTAGAATTGTGTTAATAAAACTGAAAGATACTTGCGAGTTGGTACTAATAATGAAGATTTTTTGTTTTAGTTTTTCAATAAAATGCTAGAACAGTCAACAAAACTTATTTTGTGTCTCTTGCTACTTATAGCTTTCCCTGATTCATGCATAAGAACTGCTTGAATCTTTTACAGATATATATTTACTCCAATGGTTCCTCTGAAATCATTTACATGCACTGCTACCTTGAATTTATCTGTACAGGAACTGTTGAAAAAAAAAAGAACCTAAAAATATATGGATTTCTTGATCATAGACATCAATAAATATCATCTAAAATGCCGCTAATGTCTTTCACTGCTTAAAAAATTGTCCACCTTTAGTACCAATTCTGCCGTGAGAATTGGGGAAACTTCTCCAAGCCTCCATCTTTCCCTTTAGAATTCCATTTATTACTGACTTGGTATGCTTTTGGCAATGGCTTCCTGTAGCTGTTGTTATATTCTCTCTCCTGGTAAATCGGGGACAGATTTTTATTGTAGTAGGTAGAGTGCATTGCAGTGCTTGGCAATACCTTGAACTCTTTGTCCGACGAGTCAAAATTTGGGGAGTTACACCTACTGTCCTCTCTTAACATTGCTCCCGTTTTTCCACGAGATACACTAACTCCATCTGGAGAATTTTTCGTTACGGTTTTTAGTTTTGCATCGTACCTCTGTAATGTTGGACGCCTTTTCTCACCATCACCTTTGAATGTTCTTGATGCTTTGTATTGACAATTGGTTTTGTGATACTGTTCCTTTTTTGTTTCAATACCTTTATGACACATTCTTTCAGCATTGTTGGACTTTTGCTGACATCTGTTCTTTAGTCGGGGATCATGTGAATTTGGCAGTACCTCCGTTTTTATACCAGAATGTCCATATTCAAAACATTGTTTGCTTGTTCCAGAAATCCTCACATCCTCCACAAGGCGTGACACAGCCGATTTGAGAGTGGTAATGTTGCTATCTTCCATCCTTTGTTTATTGAGCTCTGATGATCTTGGGTCAACTTTTTTATTTTCAACAGTCTTGACTTCTGGATGTTGTTCCTCTTTATTATTGAGATCTTTGGATTTTATCATCTCCTTCTCCTGATGTCTTTCATCTGTTTCCTTCATTAAGCTTGCATTAAATCTCTCTTGTTCTCTTTTCTTCAGGTGTGACTTCCTTGCATCTACCAACATCCTTGTGTACTCCAAAAGCCAGTCTTTATGCCACATAAGAACTTTGTATTCTATAACTTGATTTTGCTGCCCATAATTTGGTCTTAGTATTCTTGGATCAGATGGGGGTTCTTTATCATGCCTCTCAATTACATTCTTTGGAATGTGGCGAGGATTTACACCCCCTTTTAATAAGGTTCTGCCCTCAAAGAGCATTAAACTATTCTGTTCTGAGCAAGTGGATGATGGTGTAGACTCCCCTTGCTGGAAATAACTTTGATTACCATTGAATCGGTTGTTCAACACATCATTTTTTGCACATCTATCAAAAGAATCAACCATTTTCTGACTTTCTTTCTGCAACTCCTGGTCTATGGTGTATCTTTTCTTTGGAGGAACACTGTTCTGTTCAGCATAAAAGAATGGCCTTTTGATAGCTTCCGAGCTCTCAATTTTATTACTGGTCGGTAATGGTTGGGATTTAATATTCATGTTGGATGCCCTTTGCGCATAAACTTGCTGCTGCTCTTTGTCTAGAACATTACCATCATGTCTGGAGAAAGAGTTCAATTTTGCTCTGTATCTCTCTTGTCCTCCAGCATTTTGCATCAGACTGGCACTGTCTTCATATGGCTTGATGATATTTACATCTTTATTAAGAGGAACTGAACCATGACAATTTTTCTCAATTCTATCCTCTGATAATGGACAATACGTGACTTGCTCATTACCGAAACCTGGCTCGGAGAGAGTTTGATCCATATATCCGATTTTCACATTTACTCTTAAATTGTTGTACTTTCTCTGCAGTGTTCCTCTCTCAAAGTCAATGAGCTCCTGGTTCAGTGGATTGACACTAGCTCCACATTCATCCTGCTGAGGATTTTTCAGCCCTGTCTCCATTCTAGCAATAGATCCAAATCTATCAGAGAGCAGCTTCTTAGGTTTCTTCACATTCCCAAGACATGTGGATTTTTTTCCTTCTTCCTCGGCACCAATAGTTTGGTTAGACAATGTTCGACTACTAGATTGTAATGCCATCACCTAAAATTTGCAGATACAATTATTATTTCATAGAATCATAAAAAAAAACAGTATCGACCATCTTTTTAAGCTGTTCATTGTTAAAAATTAGCTTCTTTGTCCCAAAATAAAAATTCAGCATAAAATATCATTTCATTTATTCTTAACTAAAAAAATTGTTTTGTGAGCATCTCTTAAAAGTTTTCAATCAATGTTGTTGCATTTACTGCAAAAATTAGTAGGACACTGAACCATCAGTGGTAATAAAGTGCCCCGCCATAGCATGATACGCCCGTCAAATATTGTTCAATTATCACAAACAGTTCAGAGTGCAAGAAAATCAAGTCAACCTTGATACAAGGATTTCCAAGATTTTTCCATTCCCTATAATATTTGTTTATACATTTCCTATGGTGTAGGCATGAATTATAACAAATATAACATTATCGATCCTCAACTGGTTGTGTTAGAGCTTGACAATACCCATCTGCAGCCCCCCCCCCCCCCCCTCCACACACACACAGTGACAGTGACACACACACAATCTTTCATATTTGTGAGACATGATGCTCTGAAATTTGTTCGTCAATATTTTCAAAAAATAAAATAAAAATATCAATTAAACAATATCAATTTAGTCTTAACTTAATCTATACCAAATTAATTTTAAAATAAAAGACTGGCCATCAAATGACATATGCTATAAACTGACCAGCAGTTCTTCTGCCTAATTCCCAAAGGATACAGATAAGAGCTTGATCAGAGATCCTCTAACAGAAATGATTGAGACAGCTAGCCTTCCTACACTGAACTCATTAATTATTCTTTAACTGGATGCATGTCCACTCATTACTCCCAAGGGATGAATGGATCTGCACTAGCTGCTTTGAAGTGCATTTAAAATGAATATTTTATGTCCTTCTGAAATTAAATTTGAATACAAAGATTTTTTTTTTTCAATTTGTTACAAAGATTTATAAAAAGAAAAAAAAATTGTAATCTTGATGCAACATTTTTAATAAGGTTTCTGCTAAACTCTTAGATTTGTAGGGACTATCTACCATAATTAATTTTTTTTTAAATACTTTTTTTTTCCCTTTAGATTCAATGTCAGACTGGTTTTAAGCTGTAATTCATATGGACAACGGGCATGCTAATTCCAATATCACCCCCCCCCCCCAGTATAATTAGTTTTAATTAATTAGTTTATTATACAATATCAAACTAGTTTATTATACAATATCAAATTAGTTCTAATTACTTTTCACCAAATTCATTTTAAAAGTTAGGCTAGCCCACAAAAACTATTTAATCCAACATGGCTGATTCCTCTGCCCAATTCCCAAGAGACATAGATAACACCTGCTTGATCAGAGATGCTCTACCAGTTAGCTCCTCACACTAAACTCATTAATTTCTCTCTAATTTGACATGCAATTTTCTGTTTTCAAAATTCTCCTTGACCAGTGCTTGATAATTACACCCATGGGAGAGGTGGAATTTCTCTTGTAACATTATATTTCTTATAGATTGCTGTAAAGTATATAATTAAAAAAAATAAGTATTTTCTTGATTTTAACATTTTTTGATAAGGATACTTCAACACTTTTACATTTTTTGGGATTATGTAATTTAATAGTAAAAAGATAGTTTTTTTTTTAAAAATTTCACTTAAATTAAAGGTCACAGTGACCTTGAAATAGGTCGCGACACACCTTCTACCTAAGATGCATAAATTGGCCAAGTTTGATGATTCTAAGTCTAATAGTTTTCTAGTTATGAGCCGGACAGGATTTTTCCATATTTGGCCATAGCATCTTAATTAAAGGTCAGAACGACCTACTTTTAGTGCGCGACACACCTTCTACCCAAGAAGTATCAGCTGACAAAGTTTGATAATCCTAGGCCTAATAGTATTAAAGTTATGAGCCGGACACGAGAAAAGCTAACAGACAGACAGACGGACGGACATGAACGCCATAACATAATACGTCCCGCCTAAAGACGGGCGTATAAAAACCTGTTGGGAAATGTGTTAAGCTTACAGTGATGTACCTATCTGTCCTGCTGCAAGCTTGCATGCATTTGACTGCACTCATTTACACTGTACAAGAATTTACAATATAGAACAAGATTCACATCCCATAAACATGTTTACTAATTTATAGGATAACTGAAAGGGTCAAAAAAGGTGTGTTAGAAATCCACACCATTAACAGATTACTGTATGTGTACTTAAAAAGTGGGCTTTATTTTAGCGGCTTTGGCACAAACAATGAAGCGCTAATTCATGAATATCGCTAAGAAATCATTTATAAATACAATACACAGCACGCACATGTGTAGTGCAAATCCATGATTATGCCAACAACTCCATACCCAGTGGATACACTAAATTTTGAATACACCAATTTATGTACACGTACAGTAAATGCATTTCAAGTTGCATCTATTATATATATACAGTTGAACTTTGTTATCTCGAACACCAATATCTTGAATATCATGGATATGTCCACATGATTTGTAAGTCCTCAACCACTTATTGTAATGTTTGCATAGTTTGACCTTCCAAATGCTTTAAATGTCCAAAATGATTCTCAAGCTATCCATAGCAATGGCAAACAACACAGAACAATACACACAACATAAGTTTTCTTAATTTGTTTTCCCCCTAACATCAGCTGCACTGACAAAAAATGCCCCTTTTCAGTGTCTGGTGTCCAACAGAAAATTCTCGATTCAACTAGAAGAAAATAGGACTGCAGGACAAAAATGACACACAAGTATCTTTCCAAGAGATCTTAAAAAAAAACAAAACAGAAACCCAAAAAAAACAAAAACAACTCTGCTGCACTATCTTTTACGAATCTGTATTATTAGTGAAAAATATTGTTAATCCAGAATAGAATATAACCAAATCTGAGACTTTATAATGGTCCTCAATTTTCATTTGCAATGGTGTGGTTTTGTCAGCAGTGTTTAACTGAAATCTATATGTAAGATATACGTAAATTAACACACCCAAAATTTAGTGCAATCCCATAACCCATTAGTAAAATTATAAATTAGTGCACTTGATAGTACAATTATAAATTAGTACAATTATAATTAGTGCACTTGATAGTACAATTATAAATTAGTACAATTATAAATTAGTGCACTTGATAAGGACCCTCTAAAGGTTTTAATTTGGACTCTGGGGAAATTATATCATATAAAGATGTAAAAATGGAGTTTAATCAGTTTATCTATTTAGGCCAAAAAAAAAAAAAGTCTTGTTTCCTGCTACCATCCTGAAAAAAATAGGGTATGTAGGTAGGAAAATTATTTTATTTTTTTTATTTTATTTTTTTCCAACAGTATTTTTTAGATATGAACTAATACAAAACCAAATTAAATTTCATGTCTTTTGATGCACAACTCAAGTGGTATTTTAAGAAAGTCCATTTTTAAAACATAGGAAATACCACTTTAATATATATTTTTTCAGTTTTGGAACATGAAATTCCTGAAATTCCCGATTTTTTTTCCAAAAACTAAAAAAAACTTTAGGGTGGGGGGCAAAAAAATAGGGTAGGTCGGGTAGCAGGAATCAATACTATACTTGATTATTTATCAAGCCGCTGAAAATTTTTTTGGCCTTAATTTTCAGCGGCTGCATTTCATTTCCGGAATTTTTTAAAATATTCAACTTTTCATTTCTGACATTTTGTAGCTTTTATTTCCAACACTGTAAAGTTTTCATCTCCAATATTTATCATATAGTATGTTCCTGGCAATTAAAACATAATTGAAACTTCCCTTATAAAAAAAAATTTAAAGAATAAATCAAGAATAAATCAATCACTGATATTCATATAATGAAGATTTTACCCTGGAGCACATGTATGTGTTGTGAACTTTCACTCATCTCCTTTACTTTTAACTAGACTTTGTTCTGCATGTCTATACAGTGTATTGTAATGTTTTTTATTCTGAAAATGTGGTTTGAAGTAAATGTTATATTTACATGTATATCCTGATAAAATTCTGCTTACACCTTTGGTTAAAATTAAAATGCAGGAGAATTTTACACTTTTGATTAACATTAAAAATGCAGGTAAAGTATCCTTCAAAAATTCTGGAAATGATTAATTGATTTCAAACTGAGTAATAAACTTAAGATTTCAATTTACTTCATTTTAGATCTAGGGGCAGATTACTCTAACTGCATAAAAATACCATAGAATTAGAACTATTTAGTGTGCAGAGTATAAAGGGCCCTTGAGCCTTACAAAGAACAAGTATCATTATTGTGTACATGAATTAGCAGAAAAGCACCATGAAAAAGGTGCTAAAATATAAAATCAACTAAAATTAGCTGTATCTGCTACTTCTTTATTAGCTGGAGTTAAAAGTGAGTTAGAATTAGTTGTATTACAGTATATATGCTCAGTGCTAACAGTGTCAGAGTACACTTAAGAGACCAATGTATAGGAGTGAAACGGTTCACCGCGGTATCGATGCACCGCGGTATTTTTTCTCGGTTTGATACACGGTGCAAAATCTCAAATTTTCGGTTCGGTTCATTTTTCGGTCGGGATCGTTATTCAGTCGGGTTTGGCATAAGGTATAACACGTTACTCAGTATAAATAAGTATAGAAAACGTAAATTTTTGATGACTGATAGCTTGTAAAATAATTTTTGACAGTCAAATAATTTTAATCAATTTCTTCTAGTCAATTTGCAAATAAAATTCGTAAAATATGTGACTAGATTTAGAAAAAGAAAGCATAAAGCAACGTTTCCTTCTATCAAAATGTATCGTATCGAAAATAACCGAACCGAGACAAAATTATACAATACGTATCGAACCGTGAAGGAGGTGTATCGTTTCACCCCTACCAATGTACGACACAGATATCAGCAATCAGAGCCAAAAGTTACCTCTTAAGTAATGTACTGGTTACACTAGGACATGATTGCCTATGCTGTTCCAGTAAAAATGTGCACTATAAGCCTACAAACCTTGAGAAATCTACACTTTCCTCATACCCTATGATAAATAGATAAAGTTTTTCTTCCCCAGTGATAACCTCTCAAGTTCAAAATTTTAATTGTAACACTTTAATTGCCCGGTATATCAATTTTATGCATTGTTTATCTCACACAGCATGTTTCTACATTTACCACAGAAGTGGTTGATAAATTTGATAAATAACTTGTTGATAAATTGTTTGCCATAATGGTAAAAAGTTGTGATTTTATATATCCCAGTCATGTCTGACCAACTTAAAATTGATTTACCAATCATGTGGCAATGGATTTCAAAACCAGCGGTCTTGCTGTTACTGTGATAAAACCTTAAAAAGCCAAGGTCACAAGTTCTTGTAGCTGCTGACAGGTCTAACTAAAAAGTTCTTCTTCCTTCTATACCTAGAGACATCCTCAATATACATATCCATACGAAAATTCTATGACATTCAGCTCCATACAAACATTCAAACAAATAATTAATCCTTCTTCATTTACTTCCATTTTCTAGGCATGTAAGAAAAAACATAACAAACAAATGCAATTGCACCCACAATAATTTAAACCTAAAACACAATTATTCAATTTACAGCTGAACATGTCTCATAAATAGCCATATGCCACAGTTTTTCTACCTCTTCTAACAGAATTAAGAGTATATGTACCCTTTGCAGTCATTACACCTGAATGCACACCTTGAACTCATGGCCCATCTGTAGTATACCTTATGTTGTCCTTGTTTTATGTGCATTTAGTGCTTGTTTTTAATGAATCAACCTTTGCAATTGACGTTACTCTTTTTCCCTGAAGTGGCATAATTCCATACATTAAAAAATTGTATCACAACCGGGCAAGAATGGCGATGTAAGACAAATCTAAACAGGTGAGATCTGTACCAAGAAATACTTCAAACCTTGAAGAAGTCAGAGGCTTATATAGGGTCTCAAGGATAAGATGCATTAGTAGAGAAACATGACAGACAAGAATAATTCTCTTCATTTCACAAGTCATGTTCAGCTTTTAAAAATTAAATAGATCATACGGGTTCAATTTCTGCACACTACCTCCTTTAACCACATCTCTCCCACCAAAACTGAAATCTCACTTCTGTACAAATTACTTAAAATAATTTTGAATCGCATATTGACCAAATCCACCTGAAAAAAAAAAATGTATTACCTTCCTGAAAATTTTGAGAGACACTGCATTTTCTTAAATGTCACAGAAAAAAAATACTTTGTACAGAAGTATAGACGGACACCCTATTTTTAGCCCTCTGCAAATCTCTATGCTACTGTATAGTCCTGCACATCATTCACACACATTTATATCAGTCAGTCTGCATGAATATTGAAAATTAAGTGAGCTTGACCGTCCACAGTATTCCGAGAGTTCAATAACAGTACTCATATCCTCACAAAAATGTGGAATAAAACCACTAGGTTTTCAAGGTAAAACCACAATGAAATGTCAACTTGATTTAAACCCCCAGAGCTACAATATCGTATTCCACTTCAAAATATCCGGGTTGTGATACTTGTGAACCTGCAGTACTTTATGGGTTTGCAGTTCACTTTTGGATCCGCCCCTGCTTGGCACTCAATCAACCATGATGTAGCCTACATAAACAAACTTACAAACCAACCCCATGCGTCTACAACCAAAGTTTTCCAGATAAAAAAATCAGACTGGTGAGGACTTTATTTTTACACCATTGGAATAAACTGTAACATCAACCTCGAAAGAAATTGGCCTGTCCTGATGAACGAATATTAGGCCTAATACACAGTTACACTTCGCTTGGCTCTGTTTAATTTGCAGATACACTATATTCCCCTACACAGCCTATGTGTTGACATCAACCTACGTTGTACTGCGTTTTCCTCTTCTTTCCTCCCTTGTGTAAGTGCCAGAAAGCCTATCTTCTTCGTCACTCATGCCCCGTTTCGAGCAGAAGATATTGTAGAAGTGCGGGAAAATGGTGACCAATGAAATTTTCGAAAAACTAAATCATAAACCAAGACACACAGAGTGTAATTCTCCGGGTAAACAAGTTCGTAAGCTGGTAAGTGGATCGTGCGACCAGATAATGACTTTAGATTTCATCTTATCATCTATGACTGCTCGGCAATTTTACAAGACAGGTAACAAAAACGGAAACAAAATATTCACTGTACAAGGAAAACAAATACACAAATGATTTATGTCTCGGATGTAACCACAAGAACACGAAGAAAGACAGAAAACAAAGCCAAAAATCGTATTTATATAAGTGTTAGCCAAAAAATCAAACTATAGCAGAAAACACTGTTTTGCGATATTTTTAAACCCTTTAACCTACCAAAAATTCAATAATATCTTCCTTTGTCATCTTTCGGCTGTGTTCAAGGTGATTTTGCTCAAATCCAGAACTCATCTTGCTGCAAATGCATGTGAATGTGTCTTGGCCTTCTGACCTAGCTCACGCAGCTTGGATGGCTGATAAAAACTTCCTCCCGGGGCGGGGCTTAATCATGCTTAATCGGTCTTATTAACGAACCATGAAGCTCTGAATCTGACACCTGTTGACATACACACAGCGGGAAGTGGATACAGGAATTAACGATTAAGGAGCGATGATTTAGTGCAGTAATTCCTTTGATTAGGTGTTTGTGACCCCTGGCTAAGATTTCACACTTAACATCGAATAATATCAAAATTTACAACTTTCGCAGACTAAAAGGCTCCGATATCAAAACACTAGAGAAAGTCCATGATTAGTTGTTGTTTAACTTAATTAGTGTTAGTCAAATAACTTTTGGAATTATCTAAACCGTTAAACAGCTGGAATTTGACACGTGTGATTGTGTAATTAAATAGTCTCCTCTGTTAATTCATGGACAGTAAAGCTTGAGACAGATGCCTCTAATCATGTTAATGCCTTTTTAAATCATACATGTATAATCGATACTTAGTGGTAATTTAGCTGAGAGAATTTGTTTTCACAGTCATTTTTATGACTTTTGATTAGTTTCTTGGAATTCCATTTTGTTTCTATGTTTGTGTTTGGTGTGTGTCTGTGTTATTTTAAAGCAATTTAAAAGATGAGAGAATTTAATCTTACATTAATAAAATATATATACTTATATATAAAGAATAGATTACTTAATAATGTTACATGTAGAAATGATGTTCAAGTGTTTAATCTCCTATAAATATGTAACTATTTTACAAAACAATAACAAAACTTTACAGCATCATGTTGGTTTAATTAATCATTTTTTTTTTTGAAGGGTTGAAGGAGGGGGGGATTGAAGATGTGTTGTTGATGGAATATGCATATTATATTTTCAACACGAAATATCGAAAATTATCTGTTGAATATTTTTTTTAATTAATCTTTAATAGTTTTATGTTAAACTTCCCATCAGAAGGTTAAAGTTGTCCAATTTTTCAAATTATTTATTGTATTAATTATTCTTAGGACGTACGGTGTATAATAACTGCGCAATGATAAGGACGAAAGAAAGGAGAGAGACTTAACCTATATATAACAGAAATTCTTAACAAGCAAATAAAAAAAAATCATCAAACGTTCTTTTTGAAGGGCAGAAACGAAAATTAGCTTTGTTTTCTATTGTATTTATATATATATATATATATATATATATATATATATATATATATATATATATATATATATATATATATACCTTGCTTCGCCCCCGTTCCTACGGGCCTGGTGTACCAAATTGATATGTACATGTATTCGTCAGTCCCGTAGAACGCAGTGAGCCAGCCCCCTTTTTTCTGAGTATAAGTATTTTGCTCTACCTTTAGATGATGCCCCCCCCCCCCCACACACACTTTTTGTTGCTGTAAGGTCGAGCACTGGCAAATTCCAGGAAATGGACAGTTGAGGATTTTTATTTATTTATTTATTTTTATTTTATTATTATTATTATTATCATCATCATCATCATTTGCTTTCAGATGATTTTGGGAAGTTGCCTCCCCCCTTATTGGAAAGTTTTTTTTAAGCCTCCCCCTTTTTTGAAATCGTTGCTGTTCGCATTCCAGAGAGGGACGAACTACACTAGCTCTGCACCAGATTGATTTGCAAGACTGGAGGGTTATAATTATCTTCATCATGACACACTTATAATTTATGTTAACATGCACTTTTATATGTATCGGAAAAAATGCCCACCCGAGGTCTTTGTGTGGTAAAGCAGATCGAGCTTGCATGTGTAACGTTACAAACAAAAAAGCCCCGGGCATTTACAGTTCGGGCCAATATGACTCTGTATATTCCCGGGTTCTCTCTATACATTCTACTGAGAAATATTAGTATATAAAAATATGTAATAAGCTAAATTATTGTGTCATTATGCAACTTTTTTTGCGACAACTTGCAGACTAATTAACTCAACATTCAGCATCTCTACTTTCTGGACGAACATTGTCGAAAAATTTTGTAGAGATACATGTATTGTTTACTAAATAGTATAGATATTGCTTGAAAGTCAATGAATTAAAAAAAGGGGGGGGTAAACATAAAATATAAATTAAAGTTTCGCATTTCTTGGTTGTGTTATGAAAATGACAATTTCATGAAAAATAAAAACTGCACGAAATAGTCTCACTGAATATATTTCATATATATATTATGTCGCAAAAATGTAACAAAAGCACACTTGGGATAAATATACTGCATGTCAACTTAAGGTATGTTACAAGTCAACATATTACATACTCAAATTGCATAAAATTAAGCTGCTTGTTGACAGGACGACAGAGTTGATCTGCATGGCGACATGGTTCAGTACACAGGCATTTGAAGTGTGGACCCCCCCCCCCCCCACCTTAATTTAAAAAATATTACAAGCCTATAATTTCTCAAAAATATAGGATTTCCCCGCCTATGATATCTATATGTCGTTCTATGCAGATTGTACTTTTTCTTACATTTAGAGATTAGCCATGTATGGTATAATAAAAATACACGTGTATTTTGCTGTACAGATGTTATCTGTGTGGACGTGGATTACAGTAGATTTGAGCGTTGTTTTCTATATAGTATACTATATATAGGCAAAATTAAAACAAATCCCCCCCCCTGCGCCCTCCCTAGTTCCTACGGCCATGATTGCTACTCTTATCAAATGTATGCACCTATTCCACGTCAAGAGAAAAAGTAACACCAATTGCACAAGTCATTGCATTACGAACAAACGCAAATGCGGTTAGGAAACAAAAATGTAATCACTAAGACAAAGAAATACATTGGAATACTAGTGCCAATTCCACGTGTGCAATCAGGTGTAATGTAAATCTTATACGGGTACCAATGTAACGAATGCCAAGGGTATAGACGTTGTGTTCAGCTTTAAATATATGTCCCACAATAATTAAAATGACAAGTCGTAACGCTGTATTTTGTAATCAATTTTGATTTTGCAGAACCAAGAAAAATCTCTTCTTTAGTAAAAGATAAACTTTTACTCCATTTTAATGGATAGTCCTAGATCAATGTTCCTTGGTCGCAGATTGCATCAGCAGTATTCTTCTTGGGCACTTTCTTGTCAAGACCTGGAATTAATTTCACTAGATCGTCAACCTTAGGGTACCGCTGTAAAAACAACGTAATGCAGAGGACTGCGGCCACTTGTGAGGACAAGTAAGAGATTGTGAGTACGTAAGCGGACCAGCCATAGCGGTATTCGAAATGTAAATCTTCCTTCTCTGGGCCCGCATAATGGACGCCGTCGTTAACGTATGTAATGTACAAAACAATCCCAACCGCGGTGGACAGGCCTACAAAGTGAACACATCATTAGAGATTGGAATTGTATACAATAGTACTAAATATTAAGCAAAAGTGTTCAGCGTCACTAAAGGATCTAAATTGATGAAGAGGCTCACAACAAGAGCCCATGGACCACAACTCTCACTCGAGAAACACCTCAGCTCTGCTGTTTTTTAGAGGATGATTGTTATGAAAGATTTTTTTCCTTAATTTATTTCCATGAAAAAAACAATAATTGACCCCATATAGTGGCCCCTCCTTAACTCAAAGGAGTTATGTTTCAACCAAACTATAATCCACGCTACACTGGGATTCTTCAATACCAATACGGCTAACATGGCATTGTTGTTCTGGCCCCAGTATCATGAAACAGTCTTAGACTTAAATAAAAATTCGTCAATTGTCATAATTTTTTAAAGATAGAAACCTAATGAAACTTGAAATGTTATTAAAGTTTGTTTCCATTTCATGCTGTTAATTCTATTTCCAATAAATATTAATGTTATGAATGTCTCTAATTTTCACGGCCAAGTTCCTTTACAATACCGTTGTCAGAGACTTTTAAAGTTAAGCACTAAACTTGTCATGACCTCACAGGTGAGGTTAAGATTATGTCCGTCCGGTATCATAACTTTAGAGAATTATTAATTACATTTATTTAATTTTTCAAGTGAGTTAATTGATTACAATCTCTCAAATTGCAATGGGGAACAGAACTGACATTATATTTGTGGCTGCATTAATCTCATCCGATATTAACAGGTGATGTTAGAGTAGTTTGCGTTGACGATACACCACCCTGCCCAAAACATATTTTGATTTGGTTATTTTTTTTCTTTGAAATGAACATTTCTTCTTTTATACAATAAACAATACACAACACTAGGTGCAGGTAATATTAAGAAGTATTGTTAGACCCTGAAATAAAAATCAAAGTAAAGTAAAACTGAAAAATTGCTATGATTCAAATTCAGTCCGTTGCCATAACAAGTTACGAAATTTCAGTCCGTTGTCATTGGTTCGTTTTCAGAACTGTACTGTATAACCCATCGGTATAGCTACTGTTTAATGCATTTTATTTATCCAAAATAGAAGGGAAAAATGTAGTTTTAAGGAGGAAAACCGACTATATCATTTATAGCATCATTGTATTTTCCAATGTGACTTAAAAAAACGACTCATTGTTCTGAAGCATTTTTAATTTAGCACGTATCTCGTATTACATTTTGGTTAACATTGAAATATTTTTAAATGCAACATATTCGTAAGCTAAGAGACAAAGAATTTTAACCTCTTAAAGTTAAAAGTTTAGAATTCTTGGTCTTGAAGGTTACGGTACTGAACCGAAAGTCAAATTCGGAAACCTGAGTACTTTTTTAATTTCAGAATACACGAGTCATGCTTTTCATTTCATCAGGTTTCGAGCAAGTTCCCGAGAAGATTTAACAACAAATCTTTGAAATGTTTTGTCGATAACATTGCACTGAGTCTTCTACTGCTTCTAAGAGAAAACCTTAATAATTTAAATTAAATTCAAAGTACCAATCTCATTATAAAACCAAAATAATCGAAGTATAAATCAATGGGTGGACGATTTAATGACACAGTAACAAAGATTTACAGAGCTTTAAAGTTAAACTTTCAAGGGATGAACACCTTCGCAGCATAAAGTACATGCAGTGGTTAAAGCATTTCACTCTAGCGTTGGGGAGTAAGAGAAGTACCGTGTCGCAGTGGATGGATGTTGATACGAAAGATATCATTCAGTGCTTTTCTTATATTTTATCAATATTAACAATACTAGTAGTTACTTCCGTTCACATGTCGACTCGATATATCCCAGGGAACTTGAAATAAAAGGCACCATACAATTTGCCATATCTGTTTCATATCTGGACGTTTTATCGACGACGCGGGCCAACTAACAATTAAATTGTATGACAAACGAGATGACTTCAGTTTCTCCATCATCAACTTTCCTTATTTATGTAGTAATATTCCGCTATCACCTGCATATGGTGTTTACGTCTCCCAAATTATTGTCGTATTTTGGCTGACGTGTTTCATACAAATTGTTAGGCCTCTGTTTTTTTTTTTTTTTTACTAAGTTTGACAACGGAATATTCCTTCTACTTGATCAATACATACATGTAGGGCTCACGGCGGGTGTGACCAACCGGTCAACAGGAGATGCTTACTCCTCCTAGGCACCCGATCCCACCTCTGGAATTTCCCGGGAGTACGTGTTTTATGCCCTGTTCACAAATTTGTATCGTTTGTAGATTTTTTGAGATAGAACATTATTCGTTGTCTTCACCTTGTTCAAATCAATATACAAATCAATATACAAATTCAAAAGAATTTTCTTGGTAGTAGAAATATCATGACCCCAGGATTATGTTAAATCATAAAAAAAATTATGAAAGTTTTACATGAAAATATATAAGTAAAATCTTTTCAATAACAAAACAACGGGCCACAATATGAACTGTATTATTATGTAAATATTCCCTCATTTAGCAGATTCAAATTTAAATCATGGTCCCGGGTTTTGGTAGGTTCTTAATAAGGACAAATTATTCATACGGAAAATATAACAAAAAATAAAAAAAAAAAAAATAAAAATTCTATTCTATTCTCAAGGAGAGCAGTGCAACAATTACTCAAATTTATATTTAAACAACCCAGTTTATTGTAGATTCATATCTGTTCATTATCATGACTCCTGGGCTATGATTGGCCTAAAAAGGTTTAATATTTTACATTGGAATATATAGGATTTTTTTTTTTTTTAAAAAGAGAGAGTTGCAGGGCAACACTAAACCATAATGATATGAAAACATATTCCATGTTGTGTGGATTCGAGTTTGTTCAAATTATGGAAACTGGGGTTTTAGGGCGGCGCTAAAATCCAGGATTAAATTTTACATGGTAATATACATAAGGAAAAATCTTCTTTAAATAGTCCCCAGAACACCAACTAACATATTCAGAATCCACATGTAGTGTGGATTCAAGTATGGTTAAATTATCATCTTGGGGCTGGGATGGGACCACAATATGGGGTATCAGTTTTTCATTAGAATAGGAGAGGAAAAAGTCTTTTAAAACAATCTACTAAAGAAAGCAGATTCAAAGTGACTCAGATGAGTGGTTTGGGCCTTGAACCTATCGTTCAAAGACCTCAAAGATGGCGCAGGAAATTGGAAAATTTCTAAAATGTAATTACCTAAGTAGCAATTAATCAACGAAGATTGCATCGAGGTCTATGGGGTCTAGCATTTTTATATATATATCAAACTTCAAATACTAAGAATATAGATATGCTGTGGTGGAAAGATGCATGTAACCAATATAGAAATAGAATAAAAATTGATAATGATTTTTCAACTAGATATATTTCTTAATTGATTATTATAGATTTAAAACAAAGGGAGAAAACTCAAGGACATGTCATCGTCATAAATTAGGACACATTCCACTCTTACATACTGATAGTATTGAATGGGAATTATGTCTAAATATAGTGAGTATTCAACTCATTCATAACTGTTATGTTTTCATTGAATCTGAAGTTATTAGAGATGGAATACCTTAAGTAGAGTCAGTCTCTCATCATAACCATGCACTTAGTTTGTCTTCTAAATACTAAGGAGCAGAGAAGATTCTCAAAGAGTTAATGCATTTTCACTTTATGATCAAAAGAGCCCCTCCTTAGTTTCAGGGTCATGAATTGCACAATTTTAAAAGAGAGCTCAATGCTCATTATTATTATAATCATGCTGACAGTTTTGATTCCTAGATGTTAGAAGTAAGGAGGAAGATTTTTGAGGATTGCATTAATTTTAATGATTGTAGCCCCACTCCTCAGACCACAGGGGGAAGGGACCATGAAATTCATGATTTTTAATCAGAGATGTTATATAAAACAAGAGACCCATGGGGCACAACGCTCACCTGAAGCACAATAGCCTTATGTTCTTCATCAGTAGAATGTTTTCCTATATATTCCTATATAAAATTAGATCATTTTTTGTGACCCAACTTGACCCCCAGGGGTCATGATTTGAACAATCTTGAACATACACTACCTGAGGATGCTTCTATAAAAATGTGACAGATAATGTCTTCGCTGCTCTTTAGAAGAAGATTTTTAAAATTTAATCCTATGTATTGCATGTAAAAATTTGATCGCCCCGAGTAGTCCCACTTTATCCCCGGGGTCATGATTTGAAGAAATTTGAATCTTCTCTATGTCAGAAAGCTTTCATATAAATTTCAACTTTTATTGCCCAGTGGTTCTTGAGACGAAGTTTTGGAAATGAGTCAAATGACCCAACCCAATTTTCACTATTTCTTAATTATCTTCCCTTCGAAGTGGATTTGACCCTTCATTTGAACAAACTTGAATTGAATTCCATTCACCCAAGGATACTCTTTGTCATGTTTGGTTAAAATTGGCATAGCGATTGTGGAGAAGATGAAACTGTGAAAGGACAAAGACAAACAAAAGACAAAATTTCGACCAGAAAAGCTCACTTGATCCTTCTGCTCAGGTGAGCTAAAACAAACAAACATTTCTGTTCAATATTTGTTTATAAATGTATGTATAAATATTATATGTTTTATACAAGATGGTGAGTTTGTGATAATAATAGAGTGATATAATTTCTTGAGACCATTTGAACAAAAAACATCCACATAGATTTCTATATTTAAAGACCTACATAAATTTGGCTAAAACAGGAATTTGCAGACCAAATTTGACATTTGTGTCAAAATATAATCAAATCTAATCATGTGTATTGTGTTTTAAGCTTTTCTCTTTGTGTTGGACAACATGATAAATGTCATTCTCAAGGCTGCTTAAGTGTTATACCTGCGATGATGTAAATGATTCCTGCGATGAGTGTCCTACAGTTTTGTTTGACCACACCCACGACGTGAAAAATTGCGGCCAATAGCATCAAACATAAGTTTACCACAAAGAAAGGCGCGGTATTCCTTTGAGACTCTGAAGTATGAAAATTATCAACTTTTATATGTGAAATAGTAAAATTATATGTAATTGATATCTTAATACACGATCGTTTAGAATATATCTGATTCCTGTATCCTAGTACAAATAAATCTTTATTGTTCTTTCTATACTTGCTAAATGAAGATTTTATCCTATAGTCTTAATAAATTAAATACAAGTCTATCGGAATAAAAACACAAAAAAATTATTACCAGCTATTTTAAATGTTGTCTCTTGATTTGATTTATCTTCAGAAGTTGTCGATTCGTACTCGACCAAACTTTGACAGGTCACAGAAGGAGGGAAGGCGGCGGTACCATTTAAATCTGTGGGGAGAGAAAAAGGCATTGTTTTATAATGTTAACATATACTTGTAGCATTTCTATTTAAATCCTAAACAGTCAATTTCTTCTGGTAATGTAGAATGGATGAAGGTAGAAGGGTAGTTAATGCACATACTGTCTCAATTATTACTATAGACATAATAAGAGGTCTATGTGTGTCACAACGCTCACTTTGGTCACTTCTTTTCCTGACCATGCATTTTTATATAATGATTATATAAAATAATATGAAATAAATTCCTAGTACATTGTAGCCTTATTGTTCTTTTATCTGGACTGCAAGGGCTATTGCTGGGACAATTCTAAATCATTACGGGAAGTGGCTTGTAAAGAAATATGGAATTTTAATTTTCTTCAAATTTCCAGTATCTAATTACTTAAAATGTTTGCTTTAAAACGTCTATTGTGAACTTGACTTTACAACAAGTCATTGAAACAAACTTGAATCTATATACTGATGCTTGTATCGTTAACTTGACTGCAGTCGTAATCCTCTTGAGAATTTTTTTTCAGGGATATTTCTATTTATGTGTATGTTAGACTTTGATTTCTTTGTGGGATAGATATGAAATTAAAAAAAACTTGAATCTTGAAATCATGCGGATGTTTTCGTAAAAAGAATTTACTGACTGAGGTCTTCATCTTCAGAAAAAAATCAACTTCGAGACCGTTCCTTCGGATGAGACAGTATAAACCGAGGTCTCCCGTATCGCAGTACGTGTTGGCACAGAAAAGATCCCTCACTGCTCAAAGGCCGTACGTGCCGAAGGCAGGTCTAAATTTAATTTGCAGCCCTCCATCGGCAAGTGGCGGCGTCTCAATATGGGTTAAAAATTTTCGAAGGGACGTTAAGCTAGGATATAAAAAAAAATCAAATTTAAAAGAGTTGACTCATTTTTATCCCCAGTCTACCTTTTTCCTTTTCAAGCTCAAGGTTCTTTTCAATGTTTTAAAACAACCTTACTCTTTTTTAAAATGATTCTCCCCTTGAAAGGGGACATGGTTCTTCCTCTGAAGAACGAGATTCGTCCTTATTCTTGTATGTTGTGTTCCACGCTTTGATTGAATGGCCAAGTGATTCAGGAGAAGAGTTAAACAGATGGAGGACAGACGGGAAAAGGGCAACTTTTAACAATAGAAGACAACTAACCTGGGAAGAGGTTAGAAGGGTACCACATTGTTAGAGTCATACAAGCTTGCCACAATCCAAAGTGTGTTGTTATGTTCGTTAAGGCTATAAAAGAAAAATAACATTTTGTTTTATTAGATTTTCCAGCAAAATTATTGCATATTGTCTTTAAAATTCGCAGGAGCGTAATTTATTCTTCCATATATGTAATCATGAACGACTATTCAAATAGAGAGTTTGTTATTATCTAGTGAGTGTCTGTTCATATGTTTAGATATTTGGATAAAGACCATTCACTATTCAACTAGAAAAGTGAATGGTGAATGTGCTTGTGAAACACCATGGAGGTGCCAAATTTTACTTTGGTCTTGATCTGACATGAAGTCTTGTGGAATACGATATGGTTCGAAACAAAGTCGTTCAAAGGGGAAATGTATACAAAATATACTCTGTCTGTATCATTGAGGCAGAATCTATAGAATCTGGAGAAAGCCAAGTAGTTCACTATTTCACCATCGCACATTGGCTATTGGGCATCAACGACATTCGATGATGCAATGACGAAGACGCGACGATAATACTATGACGATAGTACAATAGAGAGATAGTGATGATCGCTTCATCGTCATAGTACCATCGTGTTATTGTCATCGACCATCGGATTGTCATCATCGCATTATCGCGCCATCGACCCAAGGCTTGATAGCGCGATGGTGTGATAGTGAACTATTTGGAATCCGTAAAAGTTCGCAAAGTTTTTAAGATCTTACGGCTCACAGAAAACTCCATCAGGTATGTGTCATTTGCTTCCATTTCACCTCCAGCAACCAAAGGCTTTCTAAAAATGTACACAAGTTACATAATAAATCACCCAAGTAAACATGAGCGTGACCCGTTATTTTGCTATTTCTTGCCAATGTGATACATGTTAAAGGTATGATTGATTTATGTTAAAAATGACTTTTCTAAAATCTATACATCTACAAAACAAACATTATAGAATCATGTTGTTAAACAAAAAAAATCCAACCTATTTATTATTGAGAGACCTAGAATACGCCAAACAAAAAAAACCACACCAATTTATTATTGAGAGACCTAAAATCACCCAAACAAAAAAACCATACCAATTTATTATTGAGAGACTAGGGATGGGTATCACCAAAAATTTCGTATCGCGATATATCATGATTTTTTTCCAAAATATCACGATAATATCATGATATTTTTACGCGCAACTTTTACAATTATTTTAAATGAATATCTATATTTCTTCTTACAAATATGCTGGAAAAACATAACTTTTTTTATTTAAATAATATAAAGCATGTTTGGATGCTATGATGCCGTTCTTTTACCGTTTTCAACATTTTTTACACTTACTGTAACTCTAATTTGAAAGTTTGAACAAATAAATGAATAATTTCTGGAATTTACAATTATGTACTAAATACCGGTATTTTAGTCTCTGTATCACGATACGTATCACGCAATTAAAAATCATGATATACCGGTATAACGATATAATCGCACATCCCTATGAGAGACCTAGAATAACTTAAACAAAAAAAAATCCCACCCATTTATTATTCACGGACAAAGAATAATCCAAACAAAAAATCCCACTCATTTATTATTGACGGACAAAGAATAACCCAAACAAAAAAACCACACCAATTTATTATTGAGAAACCTAAAATAACCCAAACAAAAAATCCCACCAATTTATTATTGAGAGACCTAGAATAGCCCAAACAAAAAATCCCACCAATTTATTATTGAGAGACCTAGAATAGCCCATACAAAAAATCCCACCAATTTATTATTGAGAAACCTAGAATAACCCATACAAAACACTGTTACAACGAATAGCGCGAAATTTCCGGAACAACAATATGTAGCATAAACCTTTGTTGTTTCTTCCTTTTTTATTTGTTTATTTTTGTCCATATTTGTACACGACATATTCCTACCATACCACCAATGCATTTTCCTTTCTTGTCACAAACGTTAATATCTTGTCAATAAGCTAGTCTAAACATAGGTACTGTTTAGCACGGCTCAATTTTCTTGAATGAAAATTATATTACATTAAACACTAGTTTATAATTGAATTTTATTTTTATGTGACCAAAGCTATGAACATTTCTTATTTCTCATTCTACATTATATTTTACACTTTTGACTCTCTAGATATAAATACTCTTAGTATATTACATCAGAGAAAGCTAAGGTCTTGGTGCTCTTTTTCCTTTTTTACAAGACCTATTCAAATACAATCGAGCAACTGGCTACCTTGTGTCTAAAGTTAGTGTTATATAGGGTTAAACGTCCGAGAAAGGATTTTTGCACTTACATTTAATCACCATTTAAAGTGCAAAAGTCAATCCTCTGTTAGAACAGAAAGGATGCTTTATGGAGCTCATAGCATTCTTTTTTAAGTGTGATTGATATAACCATATCTTTGGAGCTAAATTATATGCATTTTTGATAAGTTATTACCAAGTATTACTACATGTATGTAAAAGTTTGTCTGCAAGATTTCCTTAAGCGGAGTGAGGAAATCAGTGAACAGATATTATCGAAGACAAATTGTTAACATTTTTTATGTGTTGCTAATCACAGCGCATATTCAGATTTGTTAAATTTAAAAGCTTTGTTGTCTTTTAAAGAAAAAATTAGAAAAATGTAAAAACTTGATATTTTGGTTTGTACGTACGTGGTTTCGTCCGCTATAATCCAGTTATGAGTGGCCACAGCGAGAGCCATTGTGCTGATAGCAGTGGCCCCAACAAGTAAGGACACTTTTGTTATTGTATGAGTGGAACATCTCATTTTGAAGGCCTCTGCAGTGTAACCATTTTCTAAAACGAAGAATGTCTATTTTCAGTAATATTATACCAATTGATTTCAAACCTATAAAATAGAAACTGAATGAACTTTATTTTAAGAACTCTGAGCATTCCAAATAAGCATGACGATCAAGATCGATTGTGTACTGTGTTTTACACTATAAATTTTGATGTTTAATAATTTTATTATATTTTTAGAACACCATTTGTATCGCTTGCAGAACAAGAGGCTTGAACACGCGAATAACCTTGGTCATACTGTTCTTAAGCAGATTTTTGTAAAATACATTTTTCCCTCTTTACTCAAAAGAAAAATTTCGACCCCCATGGTGTGGCCCGCCTTAGTTATGATAATCAGGGAAACTCCAGAGGTGGAATCAGGTGCCTAGGAGAAGAAAGCATCTTCTGTCGACCGGTTACACCCCCATGAGCCCTATGTATCGATCAGGAAGACGGAGTACTCCGTAGTCAAAGTTAGTATAAAAATAATAATACATTGTATAATAAATGGTATGAAACAAATCTGACAAAATACGACCCAGCGATAGGTTGTATTTACAAAGAAGGTCATTATATAACGACCGTAGAATTTTCGAAAAGCTGTCTTTAAACAGAGTCGTTGAAATTCTTGCAACATCAACTTATTTATTAGTAACTTGCCTCGGTTTAAAAATTGATCGTACTCAGAGCATGCTCTTGTGTATTGAATCAGTTAGGAAACATATCACCATATGCATGTGATATTGGAATAGAGAAGTTGACAATGGAAAACCTGAAGTCATTTCTTTTGTCATATAGTTTAGTTATTAGATGGTCATTATCGTCTCTAGTTAGTAAAATATCCAAATATGTAACAAATGTGGCACACTCTGTAGTGTCTTTTATTTCGAGTTCACTGGGATATATCGAGTCGACATATGAATGAAAGTAACTATCGTTAATTAACAAAACTTCGTCGATATATCTAAATGCTGAGTTGAGGGCCACAGCAAAAGTTTACTTTTTCTCATGAAGAAGTTTTTGGAATAAATTTTGCTTCATTGGAATATAAAAAAAAATAGGTCTGCTAGTAAAGGAGCACAATTAGTGCCCATCGGAATTTCAACAGATTGTTGGAAAACCTGGTCTCCAAAGACTATATAGATATGTAGAGACTATAACGAAGAAGTCCAGCATCTTTTTCCTATCAACTTCAGAGTACTTCTTGTGTGTACAATCGGAATGACTTTTTTTTTTTTACAAAGTAATTGTGTAAATGAATAATCGCAAGATATGCAAATGATTAAAACTGCTGAGGTATTATCTAGAGTTCCTGATCAAGTAAGCTCTGTAGATCGAAGAGTGTCTGAAGTCCGTCTGTCTGTCGTCCGTAAGTTTTTCACATTTTCAACTTATTCTCCAGAACCACTGAACTAATTTCACCAAACCTGCCACAAAGTATCCTTGGAAAGAAAGGCTGTGACTTTTTATAAGAGGAAATAATTCAGAAATAGTGAAACTTTGGATGGGTCATTTAAAAGTCTCCTCAAGAACCATAAGGTATGAAGCTGAAGCTTATGTGAAAGTTTTCTGAACTTTTTAAAACATTTATCATAGTATTATCGTGTTGCTTTTTGAGTGACCGCACTTATTTTAGGAAATTGTGTATAACTCGCTCGCTTGTGAGAGACCCTTGGTTATAATGACTCTGCTTTCAGCACTCAGGTCCAGTTTAGGTTTGGGTGCTCTAAAATAAGGAAAAGTAAAGCGTGGATCAAATTAAAAACGATGTAACTTTATTTATGTCTCCGAATAGAATGCCCGAGTAGTGGGCGCAATACCCACGCAAAAATTATTTTATCCAATCAAATTAAATTTTCTTTGTTAATTTGAAAAAATAATGGCCGAAAAATCGTATTTTGAAAAATCACATGACATGAACTGACCATTACCTTAGTATTTGACCTGCCATTTAAAAAGTTAATCCCCTATCAATAGGTTAATGGATTCTACTTTGTTTGATAGTGTTTTTGACAATAGATAAAAAAGATAAAAGAAATCATTAAGAAATGTACAAAAAACACATCACCTATCTACAAATTACTGCTTTTCTCTTTTTCCAACAAAATTACATAATTGTATGGCCAAAGGCTTAAACAGTTTACTAATCCCTCATGTCAAATATTCTGAGTAACACATGTTATTTATTTTAGACGATTACCTGTACTTATTCTTTCTTCAAACACATTCCTTTTTTTTGTCAAATAAAATACCATTACCAAATTTCTATACATATATATCAAATTGTAACAGGAAATAAAGAGTTAAGCGTATAATTCCTATAAAATAATAAAATGAGAATATCAATATATTAAGTTAGAATATAAACAAATGTTAAACAAAACCCAAATATCAATTGACTAAAATTCAAAGTGAAATTTTATCTTTAATCATAACTGTCCTTTCTGACAAATTTCATTTTGCCAAATAAAATCTGTAACATGACTATTCTAGTCATGTTGCAGATTTTATTTAGTAAAATGAAATACGTCAGAAAGGACAGTATAGCCTAGATATTTTTAGATATCATTTTAAGTTATAAATGATAATCGTTAGAAACGGAATTCTAAACAAGAGTCCGGATAAAGTAAAATAGATTACCGGAAGTACTGGGAAATAAAGTACTCTCAGTAGCTGCTAATTCTTATTTCCAAACACATCCATTGCAGTAATTATATGCCATTATCTACTCAACAGATCGTCGTGCTCAGGGATAAAATTTGTCGCCTGAAGAAATATCAAAATATCACATTCCAGTTAATTATTGATGAAAGAGAACGGCTCTCTGCTTGTTTTGCTAAAATGAAACATTTGAAAATTAATCATATATTTGAAAAATCGAAACCCTTTCAGCAGAGTGAAAAATCCGGTTACCTACAGAATTGTTATATGAATAATGAATGTCTTATTTTTTCCATCAGGGAATCTTTATGGAAGTTAACAATTCTTCGCTTTATATGCAATTCCAAAAAATCATGATGTACAGTAAACACTTTAAGCGTATATCCTGAGGGACCGCCAAAATTCGTATTATCCATTACTTTCTGAATTAAGCTCATAAGAATTATTTTGTTAGACAGTGAGGTGTTCATTATTAACGACTGTAATACATTACTCTATACATCAAAAACCAAAGTTCTGGTAGACTTTATAAGACCTACAAAGATCATATAAACATAAAACATTATCCTTTTTTTTTTAAATACAGTATCAAAGATGATCGCGAAAACAATTTTTAACGTCACATTTGAAAGGAAATACGGTACTTATTGTTCTAATAATATTTGTGCATATTTCTTTACTATGTAACACCATAATCTTTACTGTACCCCGATATTCTGTCACCTTGCACATTTAATTTTATTGATGTCATTGAACTAATGTCAACTAATAAATATGAATTTTTAGCCTAAATATTTATGATGCTGTCTGTCCTACTTCATAAATTTTACCCTCTCTTATTTATTATTAATTTTCTTTTTCAATCATCTGTAATGTTTTTTGTTTTGTATATATACCTCTGACCAGTTTGTATATTTTGTATATATGTTATTAATGAATTCCATGTACCAATATTTTGGTTTGGATGAATAAACTGAACTTGAACTTGTAGAATTTATGCTTCCACTTTTTTTTACTACATTCAATATAGACTTATTACATTCTACTGTTACTAAGTAACTATAAGCTTCAATATTAAAAAGACAGGTTTTAATCATTTAAAATAATTCATGCTTTTGTTCTTAATTGAAATTTTAATAAAATATGGTTAAAAAAATTAATTATAAGGATGTTTTCTTAATTCATCGACCTGTTTATTAGATATGATGTAGATTTTTGTTTTGTTGGGGTTTTTCCTCTATAGTCATTTTATAGTATCTCCTATATACGAGTGATTATAGTCATATCTGGTGGGCAAAAAATTGGAATGATTCTATATCTAAATATCATCCGTATATATTATTTATCAATATTCTGATATAAAATATGTTAAAATAAAGTTCAGGTTGAGGAAACAAGAAGATATTATTTTGATCTTGCAAACAGAAAATACCCTACAAAAAAGCTGCAAATAACTTTCGTTTAATTAAGTGCTGGAAAGCTTCCAAAGAACTAACGTCAGGATTACTTATGTATAGAGAGTTGACAAAGTGGTACCTACCTTAAAGATCTAACGAATGACTGTCGATGTATATTATACTTATGTACATGTATAAAGAGTTGACAAAGTGATACCAACCTTAAAGATCTAACGAATGACTGTCGATGTATATTATACTTATGTATAAAGAGTTGACAAAGTGGTACCTACCTTAAAGATCTAACGAATGACTGTCGATGTATATTATACTTATGTATAAAGAGTTGACAAAGTGGTACCTACCTTAAAGATCCAACGAATGACTGTCGATGAATTTTGGCAAAAGTGATTGATATCCAAGTTGTCGGCACATAATATGAAGCATTTATACAACGTCTACTGTCATGTGATACAGAAATGCACTTTATACGAACAGTTTATTGAACAACAAAGAGATCGATTGCTGCAAATGATTCCAAAACTGCTAAGTTATTATCTAGATGTTATGCATTAACATTATCTGGTTTCAGAATCGTCAAAAGCTGCCAAGCGCTGATGCACCGATTAAAACATTTATCCCTCCGAGAAATTAAGAGAAACAAGAACTACTTGTTTGAAGTATATATAGACATTTCTCTACGTAAAAGTAATTCAGGGACCGACATGGTGACAAAAATTGTAAGCATCGTCTACCATCGACGCCTGCTTTGTTGCATAGACATCAGACCTGCCTTAGAGTCTGCCAGACGTGAAATATTAATGACTTTTTCGACCAATTCTTAATCATAATTTAGAACATTATTTTTTTTACATGTATTATGTTTAAATGGTATTCCACTTTCTTGACATACAACTCTGCAGGGAAATATTTTCTTTACCAGGGCTATAAATTTTAATATTGTTAGACATTGATACATTGATACAGCAGAACGCACAAGGGCATAGAAGGAAACCTACCAATTTAAGCATGCAAAAATTTTATCTAATATGTTTTTTGAATCTCTGAACAATATTTTTATTATTATTGACACCCTTCCCTCCAATGATGTATCTTTTCATTGAAGTATTTTAACATGAATTCTTTTTGGGGGGGTAATGTATTAGTCGTTTAATGAGGAAAAAGTTCTGTTTTCAAACCCAGAACTACTTTTGCTCTCTATTACCGAGTTAATCCAGGAATATGTGTCTCTGACACTTGATTCCTTGCATCAACGGAAATTATTAAGACTCTTTGAACCTAACTAAACACTTGGTTTGATTACTTACATGTAAATTCTCCACACCATTATCATTGTCAGATCTAAACCCAAGGTCGGACCTCTTACCTTATCTAAAAGAAGCGAGACCGAATTGGGTTTCCGCCGATGCCTCTTTATCAACATTAACAGTTTGGGACAAACCTTAACTACGCTTTCAAGGGATTCTACATGATGCAACATATTGCTCTATATTCATAAGTAACACGAAAACATTGATGTAACCATCAATTGTCGCCCGGGAAATAAATAAACAATGGAAATGAGTCTTGATCATCAAACCGCTTCGATATGTGTGAAAAAGGCATGCGTCTAAATGATGGACACGATAGTCGAGAATATTTTGAAAACTTATAGTCGGGTGAAAATCGAACAAAAACGATACCCTTTTAAACTTTATCAATTCCTCAAGTAAATGTTGGCTGCATAAAATATTATTTGAAACCAGACACATGCATCACCTATTTTCAAAAATGTCTTTCACCTTAAGAATATAAAACACGAACTGTGTAAAGTACGTTTTTACGTTTTTATGCGATAAGTAAAATTCGATGTTCTAAAAAAAGGGACCTGTCGTTTTTTCGATAGTAAATGATAAGCAACTTTATATATTAAATATGAAAAACATATATATTTTTACAGATTCACTTTATGGAAGTAAATATATTGTGTATCTCGTAATTTATAAAGGGAAAGAACATTCTGATTAACAATCTTTTTAATGTTTAGAAAACCTTTAATTCTGAATAACTTCTCCCACCTCAATCCCCATATACCAACACTTAAACTTATATGTATAGAGCAGCCCGGTCCTCCGGGCTGCAATAATTTATGTTTCGTTTCAATTCTAGCTCGTTATTCTCATGAAAAATTATTGTGGACCGATCCTAGCTCACAGGGATCATTACAAAATCGAACTTGAATCCACACAACATAGGAATGCTGCAATATAAATGTGACTGACATGCAAGGCTGTGCTGATCTTGAGAAGATTTTAAAAGATTCTTTACCCATATATTCCCATGTAAAACTTTGATCATCTATTGTACCCCACCCTCGAACGCTATGATTTGAAGAAATGTAGATTTGCACTATTTGAGAATGCTTGCTTATTCATATCACTTATCATTGTCATGCTATTCTCGAAAACAAGATTTAAAAGATATTTTCCTACATTCATTCTTATCTATTTCCATATCTATTTGAGAAGGATTTTCACTAATTCCAACACATTTTCACTATTTGTTAATCACTTATATATCCCCCTGAAAAGGCGTTGCCTTTCAATTGACAAATCTGAATCCCCTTCATCCAAAGATTCTTTATGGTAAGTTGCTTGAAAGTGGCTCAGTGGTTCTGGAGAAGAAGTAGAAATAGTGAAAAGTTAACAGACAACACACGCCAAACAGTCAGAGATACAGACGCCAGACACATTTCAAAAAAAGAGCTCACTTAAGCCTTTTATTAAATTGACCTTTAAAAGCATGCTTGAGTGAAAGGAACTCAATTTTGTTCAAATAAAAGGTTTTTGTTCGAATAAAAGGTCATGATTCTATAATAGATATACAGTTAAAAACTGTATGGATTTACTGTCTTACATAGAAATAGATGAAACATTTTTTTAAAGGTTTCATACATAGAAGTAGGGATATGAGTATTTAAAAAGTTTGGAAATTTTCACATGACATGTAGATTCAGAGATTGTTCCATTCACGGTCTTCAGGGTTAGGGTAAACCATAGCATGAATTAATAGTTTAGATAGCAAGAGATAAGGAAAATGATGTTCAAAAAAAGTCTTCCGAACAATAACATTACGAATATTTTTTTATTCCAAGCTTTACAGATTCTTTTGTTGAGTAAAAGTAGGATTTGAAACATTTACATGGGGATTTACTAATATAGGGAAATTCTCATTCCCATGCAGAGTAGATACAGATTTGTTGAAGACATGACCCCTGTCACTTTGTCTGAAGCCATTTTATAAATTTTTATCTGCGTATTCATTTTAACTCTGTTAAATAACATTTAATCTCCTTGTTATTTTCCTTCTGGACAAATATCCTCAATTTATTGCTGAAGAAAAAATAACACTAGAATGTACAACAAAGAAAGTCCTTTTTCTGATATTAAAGGAGAGTCGCTCAGGATGTAAAGAATCTCATCATTCAGTCAACATGTGATTTTGCTTTCTTTCCTGATAATCTCGATACATTGTCTGATTATACACCCAGTTATTGGGACATGTTTAGGAAAGGTTCTCATTCCAGGATTTTTAGAAAATCAACTCTCTAAGATGCCGTTGTGCTGGTAATGTAGATTAAAGTACGAAAAACAAGGCTTAATTTTGTCCGTAGTCGAAAATTTTATAACAGAAAGTTCTCTAGGATCTTGTAACATTAGGATAACCATCTCTTATTTCCGAAGATGTATATAAGAAGACAAGGAATAATGGACAGGGTGACACTGGGGTAAACTAAATGTTAAAGATGGTCTTTGGGCAAACAAGAGGAAGGTTTTCTTTGTCTCAAAGAAAAGGAAGCAGAAGCAGGCATCAAGATGAACACTGATACAAGGAAAGGGAGATATTAATATAATATTTCAAAGAATGTCCCGAGAATAACTTGCTTTCCACAAGTAAATATGCAAAGCTTTAAATCAATTTCAATGTACAATGTATTGGATTTGCAAATCTGTTGATGCATTACAAGCCGTTAGGTTTAAAAAGCTTCAAACACACGTGTCTGTGATACAGTGTAATAAAGTAACGCATAATGTTTTGGTGCTTGTTAAATTTTCTATTTACAATCAGCACAAATTTATCAGCAAACTTATAAAAAAATATATCAAGATTTTGTACACTGTAAAACATGATTTACATTTAAAAGACTCCAAAATATCATTTAATGCCTTCCGAATAACCATAAGCTAAGACTCAAACGTTATGAAACAATACTGCAAATTCAACATTATTGTTAAATTCCTACTTCACTTAATGGAGAATTTAAGCCATGTAATAGATGACTTCTATTTCTGATGTTATTTGACATTCCCTATGCTGTTGCATGAGTTTGTTTAATTGCGATAGCTAAGCTCGTAACTGGAGATGTTTCATAAGTGTGCTATCGATGCCAGGAAGAAATTACCAAAAATATCTATAACAAAAAAAATCTAACAAACTTATTCAGTGATTTAAACAACGCTTTTAAGGACTGTTAAACGATAATGAAATAAATATGGAAATCAGAATAGTAAATCTACTGAAAGACACGGGGGTCAACAAAATATTTCTCATAACTCAGAACAACACAAACAACGTGTACTCACCGTTCAACAAGACTCGCTAATACGACTTTAGTAAACCGCGGAAGACCCTTCATGTTTGGGCTAGGATCACGGCTACTGTTGGCTAAATAGCTCCCCGGGGAAGCATAAATTTTGTCAGGGGCAGGTATAAAAGGGAGAGAAAGCAGTGAATTTTATGCGCCTGGCACGTGGTCCATGAGGAGAGGGCCAATAGCGTGGCAGATGCTATTGACACTCACTCCCTTGGTGACCGTTATATAAAGCAGACTACGCTGGCATTCATTTAGCTGTGTAAATATATAGGGTCCGCCGCGCTGTCTATCGGAATTTTTGTTTTAGATCATTACATTTAATTAATTAAAGAAGAGCGTGCGTCAGTTTCTATTAAGATGACAAGACTTTCCGAGAATGACATTTTTTTCCACAGCTTTATAGTATGATACGGTGTTTCCTTTCTAGGCACCGTTTTCTGGTCCATAAAACAAGAGAATTTGGCTGTCTCTGAATTCCGACAACTTGTATGTAGGCATTAAGCTTGAATTATACATGTGGGAAATGTGCACTTGCTGTTTTACTATTAAATAAAAATTATTTTAAACAAACACCGAATTGGGAGAGTTATGTCAAAAGTAAATATTCATTTATATTGTATGTATTCTTTTGGATAGATAAACAAATATTTGGCCAGTTATTACTGTGTAAGCAGCTGTACCCACTGATGAAAATATATACACACTGGATTCTTTTATTCCGGAGGGGCTTTTCTCTAAAGTTATTCTTACATCAATAAGTCATCTAAATGTAAATAACATTTACACTGCTAGATGAAAAAAAAAAACTCGTCAAAAAACTATGTATTGAATATTTCAGATTGCACTTTTAAGATTGCAGCACGTTATTGATAATGAAAACCTGTTACATTTGATTCCATCGCCAGTTCCGGAAAATAATATAAAAAATGAAGAAAATTTGTCTTTATTCGATATATTTGATGAGATTCATTTGACGAAAAGAAGCATAAGCTGCTTACAATCAATAGTTCTCCACATGTTCCTTGAATGTTCCTTTATCGCGGCTTAATGACAAAGCTCAAGTCAATACCGAAGTTCCATTGTCTTATAATCTTTTCATATATCAAATCTTCCTTTGCCAATGAAGTGTACGAGTGTTCGCTCATATTTCCACAGAAATATCTTGATTACAATACTTCATCAACTGATCGTTCATTTTGGTGGGATTTGTTTAGATAAAGAGATGACTGCATCATGTAGTCAAATCATATTATTTGTTCTTCTTTATCAATCATCTTCTTCCCAAATATTCACATGAAGTTCACGATACCCCCTTTCTTTGACTTCCAGTGGTTAAAAACTTCTTGAATGATGTAGAAAATCAAACGGAATTCCTTATAGAGAACGTTTGCGTTTCTCGGAATACTATTTAAATAAAGCTGATCAAAGGCGTAGCTTATTCACTTGGAAATTTTTTTTTCCACGTTTCTTCCTACAAGATTCTACAAGTCAATAAGTATTGATAATTAAAAAATATTGATTTAAGAAACTCCCATAAAATCAGTTCTTAGAGATTACCTTTCCTACTTTTAAAAATGTCTAATTTAATTTATCATTGTTACATACCAACCAAAAGGAATAATCTATTGAAAAATGCGTTTTGTTAGTGATAGTATTTTATAACTGTGTATATATTTTATATGAAATAGTTAAGATCAAACGAATGTAAAGGAGATCTAGATGAAAAAATAATAACAGAGGGAAGCTTTTTGTTTAAGTTCCTGCGGCTGATGATGTAAGTACCATACAGGACTATATTGAAGCGTGAATACTAACCAAACATTTCGTCAGGTACTTCTCTGTTGACACTAGACACGGGAGACATAACCTGTGACCGAACCGCTCGATACATCGAACGTGGACTGTAGAGGAAGACGTCAGATTCAAAGGCGGGATACACAAGACGTCCTCAGTGTTTGTCCTTATAACACAGATGTGACGTGAGTAGCAGGCGAGATTGAGACCGCCTGACACCTGTGTCGTATAGGACCAGTCGTGAGAGGCCCCGGTCCGAATGCCCGCGCCTTACGCCATCCTCGAGGCATCTACTGCCCTTGTGGGGCTGGTAGGGAGCCTCTTTATGGTTTTAGTGATCTCTGTAGATTCTTGGGAGGAGGCAGATTTTTCTTTAAATGCCGTTAACAATTCTTACTTGCAAGTTTCTGTGGCAACCTCAAATTCTGAGCTTACCATCTACAGTAGTCGAGAATCACTGAGCGACCCCTGGACTACCTACTATTATTACTACCAGTATTGGGGACTATGGAAGATATGTGATCTACTCACAGGTTTGTATCATCACGAAACATTTCACACTGCCATCTTTATTTATTTATTTTTTTTTTTTGTTTCTTCAGACACCCCAGTATTTTATTCGAATGATGCTGAACACTGCCTTCGCTGATAATATAAATTCATGACCAAATGATACGTCAGTTCGGTTTTCTTATACTGATAAAATATGGTCGACAAATTGACAATTATTGCACTTCTTTTTTTTACATAATCTACTCAGTGAGATACACAGTATCTTAATCTACATCATTACGTTCGAGACAAAATATCTTTATCCACGATAAATTATTTCTTTAGTCCAATTGTGTGACAAATTACAAGCTCGAATTTAAAATATTTTTAGTTATAGGTACCTTAACTCGTTTGGACCTGAAACTAAGAATTGGAGTATCACTTTTTAATTTCATATGATTCGTCTCGTATGATTTTACCGAGAATATCATCGATACTTGCTCATATTTCTTTCCTGGTTACCTCAGATTTCTAAAACTTGCAATTGTTCTTAAATCAAATAATTCTTTTGTGATGACATGTGATTATGAAATTTTTGCTGGGTGTTAAAATAATAGCAATCAGCTGGAGACAAATTTATTAGAAATATAAGATACACGTGTGTATTTCTTTGGATTTAATTTACTTAATCCTTGGTGGAACATTATATGACCTACCATTATATGTATCGTAAAAATATTAAATCATTTGAAAATCTGGAGACATACATATTTCATATATTTCAAAATGTGCTTGAGCAAACCGTGAAACAGATTTATAATTTTAAACCCCCTTCTCTTTCTCTCTCTCTCTCTCTCTCTCTCTCTCTCTCTCTCTCTCTCTCTCTCTCTGTTGTTCAGGATGTCTTCGGATCCTTGCGAAAATCAATACCTGTAATTTCATTGCAAATGTTGTAAAATTAATTTATTACAGTAGATTAATTACCATCATACATTGCATTAAATTTAATAAAAATGACTTGCATGAACATGTAAACTCTCACCGATCTTGATGCTCTATATGGGAAGAGGGTGGATAGCTGATCCAAATGCATGCTTCTTTAATCTATTTTTATTACCATTATTGTGATACTTTTTTTTAAGTTCATTTTTTTCAATTTTTTTAAAGGCAGAGATAAAATATCTGTATAAGATATGATTTTTGCGAAGAAAAAAAACATGAACTGTTCTGCATTTAAAATGTTGAAAGTAATGTACCTGTAAAGTCACATACGTCTACTGTTACTTGTAGAGAAACTTGGTATATTTTTGAAGAAAAAAATTAAATAATTTATTAAAATGTTTTTTAATTAGATAACTGCGAGAGCAAATTAATTTCACAATAGGGGAGTAGTGTTTAACTCCCAAACTTGTTAGTGTTACATTTGTAGTGTATCATTCATGACACAATAAAGCCTGGATGTACAAATATTTATTCAGTTAATAATATTCTTCAGAGGAATCTGGGCAATGTTAAGTAAATCGTTGTTCTTTAATTACAACACATCAGGCTGAAATTTTGTGTCGCCTATCACCTGTATAAACGTTGACTTTGGTCCTCGTGTGGATAATGGGCTATCTTAATTCAATAATGTTGTTCAGTTATAATAAAACGGAAGAATTCTTGATAATACCGCGAGCCACGAACTCGGACGCCATTGTTTAGTTTTCTTTTGGAAAATGTCGATAGAATTGAAAAATCAATGTATATATAATGATTAATGAAGAATTAAGAAAATTTATTCAAATTTATAATATTCAGACTACTTTATTGTAGTTATTTAGCAAATAACATTTCCATTGAAAAATACCAATTTTTCAGCAACAAAATTATTTGGTTGTTCCCTAGGAAGATGTGAACTGAACTGTGTAGGTAATGAATAAATAGATAAACGAAACAAAATAATACTCTGTTTTCATTGACAGAGTTGTGTTTAAGAGATAATGCTGATTTCTTCGAATTCGCCCCGTTTTAAATTCGCTCTCTTGCGAAGAGGGCGAAAGGGGCAAAAATAAAAGGTGCAAAAATTTCCGTGAATACAGTATAATATAGGTCTAACCCAGAAAATGACAGTAAGTACTCTGGGCCACGTCTAATTATGACTAATTGTGAGTGACGTATTCTTGCTGGGACGTTAAACTCTTGTCCAAGCAAGCAAATGCAACTTACTACAAATTCCTTCGTAGATTGTTTAATATTTTTTTAAGTTAGTTGTCAAAGCATTAGTTTATGGTACTTTCATAAATACTGATGTTTTATCTGGCAAACGCATTGGGTGCTACTCACTGAAGATTAATGCCTCAATACAGTAAAGTAAAAAGCTGATAAATCTTTACGAGCCTAGAGTTTTTGGTTTTAGGCGAAGCTAGGAAGCAAATAACAAGGTTACCAACTGTACATGGCTTACCGGTGTTGAAGAGTAGGATTTCCTCCATAGCCAGCTTTCCCCCCGGAATCTGTACTCTAGAGTGAGACCCCCCTTTCCGGGGGAAATCTTACACTAGATTTAATCCCCCCTTTCTTTCGCAGAGTACGATTTACCCTATCTTAGTAATGCTAAAATCATATTGACAATATATTGGCTACAAACGTTTATATGAAAACTTTTTAATGGAAATATGAGTGTTTTTGACTCAAGAATGGTTCAAATTTAGTATGAAATCTGAAAATATAGGAAACATAGGAAATTAGTCACTCAAAAAATCGTAATACTCGATGTCTCATCACACTCTTGGGGCAGCGGTACACGTTTGTTCACGAATTTTAAAATGTATATTAGGCCACCATCAGAGATTTAAGTTTAATTTGTTTGTCCTCTACCGGCCTAGTATTTTAAGCATAGATCGGTCTTTTATATAAAGAGTGAGTGAAAAAAAATCTAAAATTTATATTATTGACAGGTTCAACATACCATTTTGTGAGTATTTGAAACGAGTAGTTCTTCAAGAGATAAAGGGGGGGGGGGAGTCAAAACCAAAAAACAAAAGAATACCCCCCCCAAAAAAACACTGATTTTTGTAAGTCGTAGCATAAATATGCCCCCTTCACCCCAGCGGTGTAAAATTGGATGTAAAAATTTCAAATTTTTAGAAATTAAACCATTTTTACTTCCATGGCAAGGGCGGCTATTTTGGGTATTTGAACATATTTATGAAGAAAAAAGAATCCATTCAAAAGAAAATTCCTCCTTTTTGTTTCCATGGCTACAGTTAAAATTCATTGTATCATAATATTTTATTTATTTATCTATTTGCAAGAAGCTAGTTTGACCAGATGAAAAGAATAAGACTTCAATGCTCCAAAAGAATTGGTTGTGCAATTACTGAAAAAAAAATAAAGATTTAAAATTTTCAATTTTCATACCTCGTATGTTTCAATGGAACATATCGCCATTTTGAAAATTCCAAATGTTGAATGCACAACTAGACTTTTTGATCATAATGATTAGTAGACTTTCCCCCCTAAAATCTTTTCCCCCAGAAAACTGGCTCTAGAGTAGGCTTTTTCCCCGGAAAACTGGCTCTAGAGTAGGATTTCCCCCAGGAAAACTGGCTCTAGAGTAGGATTTTCCCCACTGAAAAATGACTAGAGTAGGATTTCCCCCGACTAAAATCCCACATCAGATTCAATTCTCCGGGGGAAATCCTACTCTGCTTTATAGTTATAGAGTGCGATTTCCCCCAGAGCCAATCCCCCAAATAAAATATTATGGCTGTACTTATGTATTAGGAGGGACACATTATTACAAGTGTCTCTTCTTCAAATGGCGACCAGTTCCATTGAAACACATTAAGTATGAAAAATTAAAATTTTAATTATCATTTTTCTCAGTAACTGTCCAACCAGTTCTTTTGAAGCATTAAAATCTCATTCTTTTCATCTGGTCAAAATGGTTTCTGAAAAAATTGGTAGTAATCGGTTGAACAATTTTTTAGCTGTATCCATGGAAACAAAAAGGAATTTTACTTTAGATGATTTTTAGGTCACCTGAGTCACTCAGGTGACCTATTGCTATCCGTTCTCGTCCGTCGGCGTGCGTCGTGCGTCGTGCGGTGTGCGTCGTGTGTTAACATTTGAACATTTTTAGCTTCTTCTCTGAAACCGCTTAACCAATTTCAACCAAATTTGGCATATAGCACCTATGGGTGAAGGGGAACAAAAATTGTGAATTCCATGGTCCCTGCCCCCCTGGGGCCTGAGGGGTGGGGCTAAAACCACCAAAAATAATGCAATCTTTAAAAATCTTCTTCTTTACTCCTGGACATCAAGCAGTCAAACTGTTGGCATCATTGTAATAAGCATTGAGTCCTCTACCAAAATTGTGAAATTCATGGCCCCAGGGTCAGGGGTTCTGGTGCTAGGGTGGGGCTATATAGATCATATAGGGAAAGTGCATTATTTCTTTGAAAATCTTCTTCTCTGCTCCTGGGTATTAAATAAAGTAACTAAGTACATAGTTATGAAGAACAAGAGTGCCTCTTTCAAAATTGTGAAATTCATGGCCCCAGGATCAGGGGTTCTGGTGTTAGGGCGGGGCTCTATTGATTATATAGAGAAAATGCATTAATTCTTTGAAAATCTTCTTCTCTGCTCCTGGGTATTAAATAAATTTACTAAGTATATAGTTATGATGAGCAAGAGTGCCTCTTTCAAAATTGTGAATTTCATGGCCCCTGGGTCAGGGGTTCTGGTGTTAGGGCAGGGCTCTATTGAGTATATAGTGAAAATGTATTAATTCTTTGAAAATCTTCTTCTCTGCTCCTGGGTATTAAATAAAGTAACTTAGTACATATTTATGATGAGCAAGAGTGCCTCTTCCAAAATTGTGAATTTCATGGCCCCAGGGTCAGGGGTTCTGGTGTTAGGGCAGGGCTTTATTGATTATATACAATAGTTAAAATGCATTAATTCTTTGAAAATCTTCTTATCTGCTCCTGGGTATTAAATGAACTAATTTAGTACATAGTTATGATGAGCAAGAGTGCCTCTTCCAAAATTGTGA